AATTTTTTTGTTTTTGGCTTCCCTTCCTACATATTTTCCGTCTTCTCTTTTATGACATATCTCTACGTTTAAGTTGTTTTCTTTAGATTTTGTTTGAGTTAAAATAAATGGCAAGAAATGAAGATTATTTAGGTAAGTGACATTTGCTAGAGTTGCTATTAGAAACTAACCGAAGATATTTGGACAAAATATAGCACGTTATTGTTTTTAATATATTTCTACGATATTTTTGTATATGGATACCAATATTTAACACATATGGAAATGCCGTCCAATTTCTGTTAGTTTCTAATATTTCCGTCCAAACTTTTTCGATATTTTTTAGCTCGTAACTATCCTATATTGTATATTGGATACATTCTGATGTGGGCGACCTTCTTTTCCTATTATTTTGAGCATTCCGACCTTGTTAACATGTTAGCATTGGTGTGGACCATGTATTTTACTTCCCACGTTTACTTTGGAATTAAGCTATATATGGTCCATCTTAAAGACTTTTTTCTTCTTTCTTTTTTGGTTTTTAGTGTTAAGATTTTATAACAAAGATAAGATAATTACAAGCTACAGACTATTCTACTCTACTCTACCCGATACAAGAACTCAAAAGATTAGAGGGTATTACCCAACCCATTCTGAAAATCATAGGAGAGAAGAATGTTTTTGAAAGGAAAATAGATACAACCAAAGAATCTTAGAGTTTGTTGGTAAAACAGATCTTCATTATGATAGTTAATCCAGATACAGTTTTATATTTTTATTTTTACTGGCTTATGTATTGTATAGAAGTCCAACACGAATGGATGGAGCTCTAAGATGGCTTAGAGGTCTTTTCGAAGATGAGATGGCTGCTACCGGTGTGTAGTATGCGTTGTCTTTGGGGCCTTGTTATCTCAGTTTAAATCACGAGCTACTATGATATGTGCTCTGTTTTGGTTATAGACTTATAGTTTTTGATCCGTTTAGTCCCGGTTGTTTTAACCGGTTTTGGTTGTGTTGTTCTTATTGTCAAACACTTTGTCATGCTTAATACATTACATCTTTTCAGTGAAAAAAAAAGTACAACACGAATGACATGTTTTCTCAACACTCTTATATTTGAACGAAAGAGTCTTTTACCCTCCATTT